CTTTTGGTGGTCTTCGCACCGTAAGAGAGGCTTTAGTCGATGCTTATTTCACGGATGTCATCGATGATTACGAATTTTTTATTCTGTATGAGGAAAATTGGTCGAGGAGTACATTTCCATACTGGAAATACGACCGTTTTGACATCGACGAATGGGACGACACGGAGTGCATTACCGAGCTTAGATTCTCTAAAGGCGATCTCTTTTTGCTTCTTGATGCACTAGACTTTCCTGACAAGTTTACCTGTTCTCAAAGAACAATATGTTCTGGACTTGAGGGACTGTSTATCCTCCTGAAAAGACTTGCTTACCCTTGTAGGTACACTGATATGGTAGGGAAATTTGGACGAAACCCCACAGAATTGTGCCTGATATTCAACAATGTTTTAAGTTTTGTTTACGACAATCACCATCACCGCTTAAAATCATGGAACCAGCCAATACTTTCACAGCAAATGTTAGACCGTTATGCACRGGCTATTTTCAACCGAGGATCACCACTGTCKAATTGTTTTGGCTTCGTTGATGGAACTTTGCGYCCAATTGCAMGACCGACAAGGAATCAACGTGTCGTTTACAATGGSCATAAGCGTGTGCATGGTATAAAGTTCCAAAGCGTAGTCTTACCTAATGGCTTAATTGGAAATCTTGACGGTCCGTATGAAGGTCGAAGACACGACAGTACGATGCTGTACTACTCTGGCTTACTTACAGACCTTCAAAGAAATGCATGGTCAGCTGCCAATGGACAAGCTCTGTGTATCTATGGAGACCCCGCTTACCCCCTCAGCTTGCATCTACAAGCACCATTTAGAAATGCTGCCCTTACTCAACAGATGATTGAATATAACACCCGCATGAGTGAGGTCAGAGTATCTGTGGAATGGCTTTTTGGAGTTATCACCAACTACTATAAGTTCATTGATTTTAAGCAACAAACCAAGATAGGATTAAGCCCTGTTGGTAAGATGTATCTTGTATGTGGGATCTTACAGAATGCTCACACCTGTATTTATGGCAACATTGTTTCTGACTTTTTTGATTTGGATCCACCAAATATTTATGATTATTTTTTTTGACTTTATAAGTGTTGTGCATTCCAATCCTATTACAGGGACAAATGTTTATATTCTTTCTATAACATTCCAATTAATGCATCTAGAATTCCTTACTGTAAATCTCAGGACAATGAATAATTTCAGACTGCATACTTATTTATGAGGTTGAAATCATGAGTGAGAAAAAGTACATTCACTTTTTTTGGCCTAAAGCACACATAGCCCAAACTCAACATTTGTTGATTTATATAGAGTTYAATTTCAACATACAAATTCTTGTCCTAATTTTGAATAAAATCAATTGAAACCGTGTCTTCTTGTTGCCTTTCGAAACCATTGTACCAGCAAAAATCATTCAAAGTTGTTACAATGGTTATAGTTAATATTTGAAGTATAGGAATAGATTCTATTTCAGTGTGGATAACTCTTTCAACAGCAGCTGTTTTATTTATTGCATATTGTAATTCTTTTGAGTTATTGATTGTACATTGCTTTTTTGGTTTTATTCAGATTTGAATTTAAAAGATAATAATTAAAGATCATGCAAATTAATTCCACTGAATTTTTGCACCCACATCTGAAGCCTGGCATATTGATCAATGAATACATAAAATAATCAAGTGTACAAMTTTTTATTGAATTATATTATAATYARATAAKAAAATATTTAATTTGTAAATTGTAATGTATATTTAATCCATAAAAAATGATCTTATAGTCAAATTACAAAGACTTAAGAGCTTATACAATTCTAAAAAAATAAGATACAAAATATCCAATAATAATATCCTTTAAAACACATAAATAGAAGTTTAGGAGCTTACATGTTACATGTAATTCAGTTCAGTTGCCTGAACCAGGTCTTGAAAGAAACATGGCCTGTAATTGTTGCTGTTGTTGTTGCATCATCGCCATCATCTGCTGTATCAACATAGATTGCTGAGCTTGCTGGTCTTGTTGGGCTTTCATTTGCATTTCCAGCTGTTTTCTCTGAATTTCCAACTCTTGCCTCTTGTCTTCCCTTGCCATATCCCTATCTCTCTCTTACTCTCCTCAACCAGTAGCTTTCTCCACTCCGTATCCTGTTCTGCTTTCTTATCTAGCCATGTAACGGTTTCACTTCTTGATCTTCTTCTTTTCATTCTTTCAAATACATCGTCTTTGTCTTCACTGGTTCTTTTCCTAGTCTGTCCCATTGTCTCCATTGCCTTCTGCCTCATATCTAGTCCTTTTTCTTTGTCTTGTTTTTCCTTTTCTTTTTGATTATCAGTTTGATCTTGAGCCTTTTTCTCTGCTTCYTCGTTTAGCTCAATAAGGTCTTCAATAAGTATGTCRAATTCGGTCCTCTCCTCCCCTCCACCTCCAGTACTTTTGATCTGTGCTARGTTTTTAGATTTCTGCCTTCTTGAAATTAGTGTAAACCTATCTCGTGCCCCCCTAGCCGTCAGGGCACCACCAAACCGCTCGTCAGTATTTAAACTCTCAGCTATCTCTAGCCATGTTTTCCCTCTCTCCTTGCTTCCTGCTCTGAACTCGAAAATACCAGTGCCAACCATCTGCCTCATTAAAACAATATCTTTCTCTTCTGACCAGTTCATTACAGACCTTTGAAAACAACAATACACAATTCAATCCATTTTCGTACAAGACTCACGAACGAAAGCTACATTCTTGTAAAAGCGAAAAATAAAGAATGCTATTTTTTATATAATTTCTATTCTAAATGCAAATATGTATGCACCAAAATGAATTTGAGAAAAAAAATACTGCAAATATACTCACTTTTTACTTGAAGTTGCCATTATCGGCGACGTTTTGTCAAGGACGTGAAAGTTGTTGTTTTGACGTCGCGGACGCGCGCTCTCGACAACAAGACGCGGGAAAATATTCTCGTTCCAATCTCTTTGGCCGCGCGCGGCGTCCTGGATGACGTCCGCGTCTTCATGCTAAATCACTCTACTGTTTCCACGTTGTTTACGTTTGAATATTCGCTTTATTACTGAGCAGAAACTATCAAAAATGCCTTCAAATGTGGAAATTAAAGCTAGAGTACATGATTTATTGGAATTAAAGGCAAGAGCCAAGACACTTAGTGGCGATACTGGTAAGAACAAGTCCTTTGGGACACAACGTGTCTCGTGGAAGGAATTATTAAGTTAAGCTTAATTGATATAAATTAGCTTTAGWACTAGTGTATGTTTATTCTTTATAAATAGGCACAATTATAGAACAAGAAGACACATTTTTCGATGTGCCAAATGGGCGATTGAAGGTTTGTTTTAMACTTTATTTTTATCCTAAAAAATATTCATAAAAAAAATATTGTGCACAAAGATTTTATTTACAAAAATAATYTAWMATTCGATCAGCACCTTTACTAATATTTKATGTTGCTAGCTATATTATAKGAATCTGCTTTATTTAAATGAAACAAGCTGTTAAGTACATGTATGTGATGCCCATGTGATGAAAAACTAAAGAGCACTGCCACAACACTGCCCCCTCCTTTTTTACTGTCTTACCCACAAGGAATTCCTTCTTTGAAGATTTCTATCAGATAATGCTAGATGTTCTTTGAATGTTCTGTAGCTGCGTTGCCTCAAGGGCAGGCCATCACAGTTAATCTACTATGAACGACCAGATGCAAGCGGGCCGAAGCTCTCCAATTATTACATTGCAGAAACAAATCAGCCTAAAGAAATGGTTGTCACACTTAAGCATGCTTTAGGAATCAAAGGTGAAATGTTATAACTGATAAAATGGGGCACTGGAAACTCAACGGGCTGGCAAAAAACAATTGCTATCGTGTAGTTACTGATTACTTGAGGAAAATATTTTCTACTTTTAGGAGTAGTGAAGAAAAAACGTGTCTTGTATTTAATTGGACAGACACGAGTTCATGTGGATCAGGTTGAAGGTCTAGGAGACTTTATGGAGTTAGAGGTAGATATAGACTATGCATTACAAATTGTTATCTCCTTTCCACCCCTCCACCCATAAATACCACCCACTCTCCCCGTCTTGAGTAAATATTGTCTTTTTTTATAGGTTGTGCTTGAGGAAGGACARACAACAGAATATGGGCAACAAATAGCTGATGTTTTAATGAAGAAGTTAGGAATAGATAAAGGTGATCTAGTAACTGGAGCATACATGGATTTAATATTGGCAAAAAATAATGATCAGTGATGGGTTAGTTAAACATATACTAGGTAATGTAGAATTTTAGACAAGCTGATATTATGTATAATAATAAGAATAGACTTTCTTACTGTATTTTTCTTGAATGTAATTGCTAAAAATTTATGTTAACTTTGTTTATTTTGATGTTTTTTTTTCCTGTATTGGTATTTCGATGCATTATTGTTCATAGAAAATTCTATGACAAGAAAATTAATTAAATTTTAATGTTAAACATTAAAATTTCAGATATTAATTTCTTTTTTAATACTCAAAATATTTTAACTGTTTCAAGCCTGCATAGAATTATAGCCTGCTTAGCTCTCACCCCCTCCCCTTCCGTTTTTCCCCTCACCCCTCCCCTAGAGCTGCTACGCAGGCTAATAGAATTAATACATGATTACTTGTGGGTTCCCTGAAAAACATGGCTTCTGRAAAAAACTTTTTTACCATTGTACTAGTAAATTTGGATTTAGTTGATTCTTCTTATATCCGAAATGCCATTTTTAATAAGTTTTATTATCCAACAACGAATTTAATTGGCTCCCGTGACCTTCAACCGCGCGGGAAAGCCATTTGAGTACATAGCAACCATCAGACGCCATATTTGTTGATGAGCCTAGCAACGCGATCAAAACACCCTCGAGTAAGAAAGATGGCCGTCAACGTGGATTGTGCTTTTGTTTGAATTGATATTTACACCAATTCACAGTCTTATAAGTTCATAAAGTAATAATATCATGGCGAAAGTTGTCATTTCTCCCTCGGTGCATAATTTTGCGGACATCAGACCAGTTTCCAGAGGGCTATCCTTTGCCCCTCGTCCGAACTCGCGAATTTCAAATGGACAGTCAAGACCGCAATCAGGGGTCAAAACAAGAACGGAAAGTGTCTTAGAGGCAACTCCAAGGACTTTYAGGTCTCAAACGTGTACAGAGATTCCTTTGCCAGTTTCTGGAAGGCGTTCTTTATCTGTTTCGTCCTCGAGCAATGGTAAGTTGATTGTTCATTTGCTATGATTATCGCTTTACAAAATGACAACACTGTGTTTTGTTAATAATTACTTGTTGCATAAGTGTTAATGATGTGTTTTTTAACAAGAATTTTGTACAAAAACTTTGATTTCCTAAAATTAATCGAATAATATTGAAAGTATTTTTTCGTCAACACAATAAACACAGCTGTTTTGTTCACAACAATTCAGTTTCACTCTTTAACGAATGGAAATCTCTTTAATCGTTTATAGAACTTTTTCTTTATCATTTTCCCCTTTTTACATGTAACAGTCTTATATATTTTAAAATAGAAAAAAATTAAAGTTTATACTAAGATTAGTTTTATTTAAGAACGAGAAAAATGTGTTTACATACATGCTTACCATTAATGTTTGTTTTAATGCAGGCTCCAAGTCACCAAATCCAAAACTCAGCTCCATTGAAGTTGAATCAATATTGAGGGACAAAATTCGAGTAAATTTTGCTGATATAAGACAGGTAATTTTACTTAAATTTTCCTTAAGGAAATATTTTTTCTAAGTGAATTTGTACTGGATGTTCTTGCAGGCTTTCCAGACACTGGATGCAGATAAAAACTTGACTGTCACTCAGTCAGAATTCAGGAGAGTTTTAGAGTCCTTCTGTTTCCCTCTTTCCCAAGAACAGTTCAGCCACATTCTGAGAAAGGTAAGTTATGATTAAAAGAATGGCTTATCAATAATGATT